TCTGTGACTCTCGCTTTCTGACTATTTCTTTATAACTCTCTATAATTCTATAACTCCTTTCTCTCTGGGACTTTCAATCTCTGACACTTTCTGTATGACTCTCTGTGATTCTCGCTCTCTAACTATTTCTTTGTGACTCTCTGTGACTCTATAACTCCTCTCTCCCTGACTATTACTTTGTAACTCTCTATGACTCCATTACTCCTCTCTCTCTGTGTATATCGCGCGCGTCTCATCCACCCGCCCATTCCTTCTTTCTCTATTTCTTTAGTTATTTCACTCTTCGCGGACACTCAAACCGCATTCGAACACATCCACCCAAATCTTTAGTCGGTCACTCATTCTTCATTCACCCAATACTCTCACGCTCTCCAAGTTCCAAACACTTTCCATTCGCACGTCTATCTCTCCAGTCTAAACTCTCGCTTAACTATTTCTAATTACAATCCATCATTCCCACAGTATAACGAACTCACTCCTCGCTAAAGCTTGCCCCAGAAAGAAAATAATATATCTCGAAGAACGTGTCAGGAGAACGTACACTCTGCGCGGAGAATATTGTTAGAGAAAGGAGAGTAAATCGAATTCTTTCAAGCTGCTCTTGGAGCGCTTCTCGTATAGTTGCGCGAAAACGTCGTTTCGAAAGATCGGTAGCAATGCAATTTCCGGCGGACGGAACGATTACGCGTGTCGCTTCGGCTCGCGTTATTTCATTAGCCGACCGGAGAGTGGACGGTCCGGCTTTGGTAGATCGTCCTAATTGAATTATCTGCATGGTAGATTGCAGAGTGTAACGTGTCGCGCGACTGCTTCTTCTTCCTTCAGCTTCCCCCTTTATTTCCCTTCTCCTACGATTTCAGTTTCGTTTGCGCTTCACGTGGTCGCGACGTCCCTTTGCTTCCAACGAACAACCACGATGTATCGCACAGAATCTTCCATTTCGTACACAAATTTTCTAACAAATTTCTCGTCCAAATTTTTCCTTCTTTTCGACCGAAGACCCGAAGAATTTCAATTACGCCGGCAAATTAAAGGCAACGTCCGACAACGGTTAATCGGGAGAAAAATAGGAGAAATCGTTAACGGGGGGATAGGCGATTACGTGGAGGATAGAACCGTTTTTATAATTAGATATAGAAGGCGGCGCCCTTTTACACACAGCGAAGAGTAGGGAACGAGCAAAAAACTTGGCTTGACTCTTTGCAACTGGCGATCTCGAGCGGAATCTCGGTTCCCCCGGAGCTTCATGAAATAGACCGTGGACGCTTTGTTCACGCTGTGTGGCAGCGATGAAATGTAATTTAAATCGGCGGACGATCGTAGGAATCGTCGAATTCGAGGACAAAAGTGTCAGGAGAGATCGGTGAACGCGTGACGAGTTAACGAGAATTCGATTCTACCACTGTGCTTTTACGAACAAACGA